AGGAGGAGGAGACGGAGGAGCAGGAGGAAAGGAGGAGGAGGAGGAGGAGGAGGAGGAAAGGAGGAGGAGACGGAGGAGCAGGAGTAAAGGAGGAGGAGGAGGAGGAGGAGGAGGGCGGAGCCAGGAATAGACCTGCACAAGTACACGCCTTAACGAAGTGGAAAAACTGAAAGAGGAGGAAGAGGAGGAAAGGAGGAGGAGACGGAGGAGGAGGAGGAGGAGGAGGAGGAGGAGGGCGGAGCCAAGAATAGACCCGCATTACCAATGCAATCATAGGAGAACATGTAATACAAGTCTCAGAACGTGCACACAAGGAGGAGGAGCAGGAGACGGAGAAGGAGGGAGGGGGCGGACACAAGGAACGGAGCTGCGGGACCAATGCGGCAGGAGGACAGCATGTATTGCATATATCACCACTTTCACACAGGAACAAGGAAAAGAGGAGGGAGGAGGAGGGGGAGGCGGTAGTGACAAACAGACTGATGGAGGAAAAGAGTAGGGTAAGGAGAGGAGGAGACGAGGAGTCGAAGGTAAGGTAGATGGAGGAGGAAAAGAGCAGGGTAAGGAGAGGAGGACACGAGGAGGAGAAGTTTGTAGGTTCAATATAACGAGGCTTAAGGACGAAGAAACAGACGTGAAAATGCAGGAAAAACGGAGAAGGAATAGTTGCCCATTTAGGAGACCAAGGGGAGGGGGCGGAGAGAGCAGGAGAGCAGGAGAGCAGGAGAGCAGGAGAGGAGGAGAGGAGGAGAGGAGGAGGTGAAATTCGTCGGTTAAATAGAACGGGAAGAATAAAAGAACCAGGCTAAAGGACGAAGAAACAAGACGTGAAATGGCAGGAAGAAAGGAAAAGGAATGGTTGCCGCATATAAATGTTACAGATCAGTGCCAGACAACGACGAAGAGATTACTACAGTCTTCCCCCGAATACAACGTACGGTCATTATAGCTGAATTTGGTGTATCTTTCAGTCTAATTTCAGTTATAATGACCGTACGTTGTATTCGGGGGAAGACTGTAGTAAAACGTAGAACAAAGTCCTAGTACGAAAGGAAAAGAAAACAAAACAAAAATTCTGAAATGAAAAAAAAAAAAAAAAAATTCAGAAAACAGGAGAAACAAAAGAAGAAAACGGCACTCATCCTACTGAAAAGATCAAATGGCTTCCAGTTTAGGAATGCCAGCATCTGCTCTCACCTTGACAACAACAAAAAAGAAAATAGAAGAAGGATAATGAGGCAGCAAAAGCATGACTTACCAAGTCTCTTCCCACTATGCTCAGCGGTTCACATACCGAAAAAAACCTTACTGGAATTCTGACGACTGTCTATTTGTATTTTCGTTTTTTCACAAAAAAAAAAAAARMAAAATGATAACTGACACTATAAAAAAAAAAAAAAAAAAAAAAATGATTGTCTTTTCTTTTTCTTAAAAAAGAGCAAACTGATGACTACGACTTTCAGGCTTCAAAGCACATCGGAGGCAAAAGTTCCTTCATGGCAGGAGGAGCGGAAAGTCAGGCGAAGGTCTACGGAGAAGAAAAAAAAACAAGCAAAATATTACTTAAAATAAAGATTTTTATTTTCCAAAAGAGAAAACAAGCAAAGCAAAGATTTTTTATTTTCCAACAAAAGTTTAACAAACAAAATAAACTTTTTTATTTTCCAAACCGAAAAACCACGGCACTGTTCCGACGTAAGGATTCATTCACAGATGCGAGGCGGCCCCTTACCCTCCTTACCTCCCTTACCCTCCTTACCCTCCTTACCCTCCTTCCCCTTCTTCCCTCACATCCTCTCCCCTCCGCTGCCACCCCAGAGCAACAACAACAACAAAAAAAAAGGGCACAACAAGGTGAATTACATTGTTGTGCTCTGGTGATCGAACACTCTTCACCTCCGCAGAAAGAGCTAACGAGAAACACGTCCTCAGTTTCTCCTGCAATAAGCGGAAGCGGAAAACGAAAAATAACATCTACTGCATAGAAACTAAAACCCCTCACTCTCGCACTCCAGGTCAACCTTCTCTCTCCCCTCCCTCCCTCCCTCCCTCCCTCACAGCTTGCCATGAAGTCATGATCTCCCCTTATTATACACCTACCTAGAAAGCAATGCCGCCACAAAAGATGGGGTGGGCGAGAGAGACACAGAGACAGAAAGAGGTAATGCCCCAGAAAAGCAGACCCATCTCGACCAACCCACGAGGAGAGTTAACAAAATACACAGAGAAGAGAGAGATAACTCGGCGGCGATAATGCAAAAAAAAAAAAAAAAAGACATGAGAATGAGGGAAGAGACGAGGAGAGAGAGGATGGGGAAGAGAGGGGGGAGAGAGGATGGGGGAGAGGTGGGGAAGAAGGAGGGGGGGAAGAAGGAGGGAGGGAAAAAGAGAGGGCCCGGGACAACAACAAAAAAAAAAGTTAATCGAAAATGGATTTATAGCGGCAATTGGCAAGATGCGCGTCTAAAGCACTTTGTCGGATTACAGCCGTACATCCTCTTCTGCAGTTATGACATCTAATTAGCCTATAGGGACAGACACGTGCATGGCTCTGCAACTGCGAAAACTGGATGACCTTTTCACACCTTTCTCTCGACTTCAGCTCTTCGAATTTGTCCTCTGTGGTGTTGTACCAGACGCCGTTCACGCACCGAACCCGTATGTCGTCGATGATTGCCTGAGCTGTTCGCGCAGGAGGAAATGCACTGCTGCTGGACAACGACAGCGGAGTCTTACACGCCGGGCACACCTCGTCCACCTCATCAAGACTCCTGACTATGCAATCACGGCAAAACACGTGTCCACAAGGAACAGTGATCACTGGATTACGAAACACCTCCAAGCAGATCGAGCAAATCACTTCCTGTGAGGGCTTGGAAATTGCTAGGTCATCTATTCCGGGTAGGCGGGGAATTGCGCCCGTACGATCGCCTACACGTGCACAGCCGCAATTGGTCATCTTCCTCCGTCTGCCAGCACTGATGCCGCTGGTACTGCTGCTGCTACGCTCCCTCTGTCCACCGGGATTGCCTGCATCTTCGGTGAAATGGAGGAGAAACTTCGCTAAACCTTCCAATCCTGTACCCCTCTCTTCGTTGAACATCGGGACGGTGCCCACCACGTGATTCTCCTCGTCCAGGCCGGAATCGGATCCGAAATCCCAGTCCGGACTTGACGAAGGAGACGACTTCTTAGAAGAGGAAGAGGAAGACGAGAGAGATTTCCAAGAAGAAGGAGATGGAGACCGAGGAGGAGAAGTGGAGAACCACCCACCTCTGCGGGAGGTGCTAGGCTCTCCAGAGGACGCAAAGAGCGACGGCCTGTCCCACTCCTCCTCGTCGAAGAGCGACGGCCTGGCACCCGGTCTGTCCCCCGCTGACGTGGAAGTTGAGACGGAAGTGGAGGTAGTCGAGACCTCCACCCCACCTCCGGATCCCGATCGGTACTTGCGCGTGGTCGTCGTGGTCGTCGTCTTCACCACTCGCTTGTCTGCTGCGCGAGCCGGCTGGGACTCCGATCCACCTCCGGAAGACATGATGACGCACCTGCCGGGATACCAACTCTGACACCTCGTGATCGATCAACAGTCCAGAGAGGGGTAGTAGAGGAGAATGTGGACGGTCGCACCTCTCCCTACGATCCTAGGTGGCCGCTCCGTGAGTGCCTATCGGTCCTATTGCCTTCCCCGCCCTCCCCACTGCTGTAAATTGCCAGCGGATACCCTCTCAATTGCTGTAAATCGCTTGCCCCTACCCATTTACTGCGCGCCGATCCGCATGATAAATCATACCATAATCAACATCACACTCCTGCCGGCCTATCCTTTTGGCTGTGTTTCGTGTTGTGTGTGCCTATCCGCTTTCCCGCCTATTCAAGTCTCTCTCTCTCTCTCTCTCTCTCTCTCTCTCTCTCTCTCTCTCTCTCTACTGCTGTAAATCGCTTGCCCCTACCCATTTACTGCGCGCCGATCCGCATGATAAATCATAACATAATCAACATCACACTCCTGCCGGCCTATCCTTTTGGCTGTGTTTTGTGTTGTGTGTGCCTATCCGCTTTCCCGCCTATTCAAGTCTCTCTCTCTCTCTCTCTCTCTCTCTCTCTCTCTCTCTCTCTCGCCCATTCGATTCGTTTGCCGCCCATAGTTACATATTCGACAGTCCGTCTGCCGCACCACTTTCTCCCCTCCCCATTGCCGTAAAAGTCGCCTGTGCCTACCCTTCTACGCCTGCCCATTTACTGCGCGCCAACCCTCATGATACATTATGCGCCTCGCCACACCACTGTCGAAACCAAAAGACTACGAATGCATCTGTCGCAGGAAGTTATTAGGTGCATCCGTTGCTATTCATAGTAACGGATGCATCTTGCCATTCTCTGCGGTAGATGCACTCGTACGTTTTCTCGTTTCTACAGAGGTGTGGCGAGGCCCTACAACACAGTCAACAGCACACTCCGTCACACGTATCCTTCTGGCTGTGTTGTGTTGTGTGTGCCTATCCGATTCCCCGCCTATTCAAGTCTCTTTCTCTCTGTCGCCCGTTCGATTCGTCTGCCGTCTGCACACTCCGTCCTACCTATACTTTTGGCTGTGTTGTGTTGTGTTGTGTGTGCCTATTCGCTTCCCCGCCTATTCAATTCTCTCTCTCGCTCTCTCTCTCTGTCACCCGTTCGATTCGTTTGACACCAATAGTTATATATTCCAGTCTGTCTGGGGCACTTCTTCCCTCGTCATTGCTCCACATTGTTGGCCCTCTCGTACGTACTACCTACTCAAAACTCAATGTGCAGGACTGCTCCAGATAAAATAGGACAAGATGAGGTCGAAGACGATGTCACACAGAAGCCAGTCAGGAAAGTGGGCCATAGCCCCCACATCGCCGGCGGGTCCACTTCGCCAAAAAAAGCGAGGAGAACCACTTGAGATCTGTAGCACCTGACCCTTGTGTTTCTTGTGCAGGTTCACATATGCAATGAGTGCCGCGAGCGGGCGCCGTCTGGAAGGCGCTTGCGCTGCTTGGGAATCTTCGGAAGCTGTCGTCGCAGGCCAGGCTCCTGTGACTTATACTGTCACAGGGCAAGGCAGTGGTACCGCTCGGGCCAGCGAGGCGATTATTCAACCTGGGTGAGTGTCACATCACCTGCTAGGCCTCCCATTGATCTCAGTGGTTGTTTTGTCTTCCGTAGATATCTGGGAGTTATCTTAGGGGTTAGAATTGGTGAGTACTTGGGTTGTAGATGGAGTTGATGCCTAAAAACAACTTGAAGCACTTCGGCTTAAACCTAGCCGGGGCGCAGCGCTACCGGGAGCACTGCACCCCGGTACGGACCGCGGCGGCGGAGTGAGGCGGCGAAGCGGGAGGGCGACTGGCGTGAACCGGCTTCGCTCTGACGCGTTCATACGGACGAAGTACTGCATGGCGATGGCGTGACAGAGGCGCTGGTGGGGTGACGAGGTGTTGCAGGGCTGGGGGTCGAGCTTACAGCAGCTGCTTGTTAAGCGTTTTGCGCACGCGCCGGGAGCGAGGGTGCTTGTCTATACCGTGTCACAAGTTGATAGGGAGAATAGACCGACTCCCGGGGGGTTTCTGGGAGTTCCGCGTTCATACTCCATTGCCGCTGCGTTTTTGCCCGTGGCATAGAGCCTGTGAGGTGTCGTCTCTGGGGATGCCTGTGGAGTTCAGCGGAGTGAGCCTTGGGTGACCCGAAGTGCGAGTGAAGTAGATACCCGTCATCACCAGCGTTTTCGTTCATCAGCATCAGGGATCGGTCGTAACTCAAAGGAACATGGTGGGGTTTCCTCATCATCATCAGGGCTGTTCGTCATTGCCATCATCATTTCTCCATCATCACTGTTGTCGAGCATGACTCAAAGGAACAACGTAAGGGTTCCGTTATCATCATTAGGGCTGTTCACAGTCGCCACCAATATCATCAGGGTGATGCTCTTCATCATCATTAAGGCGGTAACTGGGGCCGCGAGCAGCTTGTCAGTAATATTGCGATTGCTAGTATTGGAAACAAGGTAAGTTGGCTAGCGTGCAAGCACCTCATCCATATTTTACTATTTCAGGGTGCTAGGGCGCTGCCCATCCTTATTATCACCATCATTAGTGCATCACCACATGGCGCGTTATTAGCAATTTCATCATCTTGATCGTAGTCATCAGTTATTATCGTCATCATTATCATCATCATTATCATTAGAATCATCATCATCATCATCATCATCATCATCATTATCATCATCATCATTATCATCATCATTATCATCATCATTATCAAAATCATTATCAAAATGATTGAAATCATAGTCACCAGTCATCATAGTCACCATTTCAACAATCATCAATCAAGGTTACCGCCACAAAGAGGAGCCGCGGGCGCTAGAAAATTGCACGCAGCAAGGAAAAATGGGCGCGCGCCCTCGACGGTTGCGCACGATTGGGTGCTCGTTGTCGGCGCGAATACCCTTACAAGGGTATCCGCCCTGGTTTTTGCAAGTGACAGAAAATAGTCTTGGTTTAAAGTTTAAGCTTACCGCGCTAGGCGCGGCATTGTCTGTAATCTACGTTGGTAGGATGGGTGATTAAAGTAGAGGGTGCGTGGGCGCGCAGGTTTGAGGCGCTCGTATATGGGGACTGGTGACGAGCGGGCAGACACTGAGAGCAGAGGTTGGACCTGGATGTGGGGTGGAGCCAGGTGCGGGCGGAGCAAGCGGGTGAGACATTGTGATCAACGGGAGGGTGCACCTGGACAGTATATGGGGTCGGGTGCATTCGGGAACGAAGATAGCGAGTTCAGAGGCCGGGCGCAGTCAGAGAAGTGTAACTCTCCCGTTCCTGAACGGAATCAGGAGGGAGGAAGGGTGATCCCAGGGTTTTAACCCCGCGCGACTCCAATGGCGGATACGGATCGACATGAGGTGGAGCGTGAGGGGAGATAGCGGGAAAAACTCTCGCCCCTAACTATGGCGGAAAAGAGGATGAACGGGAAGAAAGAATCGGGGTGTTAGTTGTTTCGGGACGGGGTTGAGCGGAGGAAAGTGGTCAACCGGGGTTTTAGAGTGGGCGAGTACGTTGGTGACGTTAGTTTTGACGGTAGATTAGTAAAACTGGAGTTAAAGGGAAAGAGGAGACGTCGTAGTGTGGGAAAGGGCAAATTGAGTCTGGCGCGGAAGCCAGGCCAGGTGCATGCAAGTTGAGGGGGTAAGTGCTGGGCGTAAAGCACAGGCGGGGGCTGGCAGCGGGGCAACGAGGGCCGGCATGGTAGGGCGAAGTGGCGGAGCAGACAGACAGTGGGAAAGGAGAATGAACCCGGACGCTATCGACGTCCAAATTCATCCGCACGGTGCAAACGATAAGAGGTGAGGGAGGCGGACAGGGCGCAGCGGGAGGGACAAAGCTCGTTCGTTTGGCGGTGGGACTAAGAAGGAGTAGTGGAGGTAGGCGCAAACATGCGCCAGGGACATTCGGTGCAGGGGGAGTTGGAGATAGCGGAGGGAACGGCCAGAGCGGGTGGAGGAGAGCGAGTCAGATAAAAGACAGCTGCATGAGTAGAGAAAAGTCGGGATCTTGTGACGTGGCAGACTAAGTGGGTAGGTGCTGTTCGCAGTAGACAGGAGAAGACGAGTGTGGCAAGCAGTGTGGGACTTAGTAAGGTTGCTTCTGGGCTATAAACCAGTCCGCAACTTGCGTTGTCGGGATTTGCAGTACGAGTTGTAAGTACGGCTGCCAGTTAGATCCTCAGACTGCTGCAGTTGTGGCTCTAAGCCCCAACTTGGTGGGTAACGAGTTTGACCGGCATACTGTTGTGGTCGTGCCCAGGTGCAGCCGTGTCCCACTGAGTTTTTGTGGTGCATTGGGTAAATCTTGCTACTATGGGACTGTAATATCGCAAGCCTCGCTGTACTCCGCAACTCCTTCGCTAAGCCTCCATTAAACACTAGTGTTGTATTGAGCTGCGGCACCACAATAGCCACGTGCGAGGTGTTCGCTGCACAGCCCGTCGTTTCAGAGTGACTATTCTATATGGACGATTGACCAGTTGATCCGAGGAAGTGGCACCGTGGCGGCGAGGGCAAAACAGGGAAAGGGCACGTACCCTGGTTGGCAACGGTCTGCAGGGTCAGAAGCCTGCAAAATAGGCAGTTCGCGGGGCCGGTGCTCTGCAGGTTTGGCACTGGCATGCACTGCGGCTGCTGCTGCTGAGAGTGATTAGTGTGGCTATTGTTGGGCGCTGGTTAGGGGCGGAGGTGTAATGTAGGGAGAGTGGTTGAACTACGAGGAGGGGTCATGCTGCGAATTGAGGAGTCGCCAGGGGGTTGACGTCGACAGTTTGACTGAGGATTGACGGGCGGCTGCGTACTTGACCATCAATGCGGGGCCCTCAGGCAACAGAAGGAATCAAGGCCTCTCACGCGAGTTTGAGTGCACCATTCTTAGATCTGAGAGACTAAAACCCTTCTATCTCCTACCCCTCTTACTCTATGTCTAGTCTACTGGTTCTGAGAGGAAGGCGGCAGGCGGGGTTGCAACCCGTAATCCGCGCAAAGGCCTCTGTGGGAGGTTCACCCCACCGATTGCAGGAGCTCAGCCGGGACTCAGGAGGAGTCCTGGAAGTAGGGAACAGAGTGGTAATTCCCGCACTCCTTCTATAAACCCAGCCATAACCCCTACCTGTATACCTTTCTATGTTTGGTTGAGTGTATGGCGTGAATCCTGTACTTTGACTTTGTTTTGNACTCCTTCT